CCAACCCCACCCCCCCACACAATTTTATTGCAGATTTGGGCAGCCTTTCTCAAGCCGCACACGACCATGTCATCAGAAATAAAAAATAAAAAAATTTAGGCAGTCTGTCGACCGCCTACGGGTCAGCCCAACTGGTAGGCGCGTCTACCGCCTACGGTAGGCATAGGCTGTAGGCGTCAAAACAACCCTGGCTATATGTGTAATCGTGATGAATTCGAAGTTGTATTCCTCATTCAATTTCTTCAATTTGTCAGTTTGGGCTAAGACCACCGCTGCTGCGTAGCACACCGAACGTGTTCGGAAGTTTTTCGAACGTCCGAACACGTTCGACCGCTCGCCCGAACGGGAAGCGAACGCGTTCGCACAAACGGCTTTTGGAGGCCTGCGAACGCGTTCGCCCAGCAGGCGGTACCGGCCCTCCGAGGGTCTGGGGGGGTCCTTGGGGCCGTAGGGGGGGTGTTTGGGGGGCGGGGTTGGGCGGGCGGCCTGGCGGGAAGGGGCAGCCGGGTCCCCCATTCGAATTCGAACGAACAATCGGGCTGCCCCGCCGCTCGTCCCCGTGCAGCGTGTGCCTCCTCCTCCTCCTCCTCGTCATCCTCCTCCACCTCCTCCTCCTCCTCCTCCCCTCCTCCTCCTCCTTCTCCCCCTCCTCCGCCATATCTTCTTCTTCTTCTTCTTCTTCCTTCTTCTTTTTTTTGTTTTTTCGACTTTTTTTCTCTTTCTTTTCTAACTTTTCTAAGTTTCTTCAACTTTCTTCTTCTTCGAATCTTCTTTTTCTTCTTCTCCTGCTTCTTCTTCATCTTCTTCTTCTTCTTCTTCTTCTTCTTCTTCTTCTTCTTCGTCTTCGTCGTCGTCATTGTCGTCTTCGTCGTCGTCCTCCTCGTCGCCCTCTCCTCCTCCTCCTCCTCTTCTTCTTCTTCTTCTTCTTCTTCTTCTTCTTCTTCTTCTTCTTCTTCTTCTTTGACGTCGTCGCCGTTGCCCAACCCTTCTCCTCCTCCTCCTCCCTATCCGGATCCCGACTTCCCCCGTCGTCGCCCTCCCCTCCTCCTCCTCCTCCGCTACCCTCCTCCTCCTCAATCAACCAACCAACCAATCAATCAATCAATCAATCAATCAATCAATCAATCAATCAATCAATTAATCAATCAATCAATCAATCAACGAATCGAATCAATTGATTGATTGATTGATTGATTGAAAAAAAAAAAAAACAGAGAAAAAAAAGACAAACAGCCCTCTTCTACGGCCTCGCCACCCTCGCCGTCCTCCTCATCTTCTTCTTCTTCTTTGACGTCGTCGTCATCGTCCTCGCCCAACCCTCCTCCTCCTCCTCCTCCTCCTCCTCCCTATCCG